AACCCAACTTCCAAAGGGAATAACTTACTCATACGAACTCGGAATCACGCAAACTTGGTGGCGTTGGAAAGATCATTCCAAGGGCTTTCCAACCATATCTGGAACTACACCTATCTCATCCTGAGCTAGGAGTTATGGCCGTTTGAAATTGACTAAAAACTCACTTTTTTTCTAAATTGACAAAATTTCCAGCTTTCAATTCTTTCCAAAAATGATTATTTCCAATTCTCAACTTCTTCCTAGTTATTTAAATTTGCGATATGTTACATTTGCTTCTCTTGATTCTTGAGTGCCCTTGTAATTTTATTTTACACTCGCATCATTTTTTTTTACCCATATCAACCATTTATTTAGTGAATCAACCCATATAATTTGATTTTCAAAAGCAAGTTTGTAATTTGAAAATATAATAGAGATGTTGCATTTTATACAATTTCAAGTATATTATCAGGGCTGACTCAACAAGATTGGGGGCCTAAAGCCAAACCTTAAAGAGGGGCCCAAATATTTTTTTTAATTCTTTTTTTTTCAAAAAAGAATAATCATGTATATATTTATTTAAAATCTATTTTTTCTAGCCTTTTTAGATGTGAAGTCATTATTTACTGATTTCTAATTGATTTGTTTTAGTAATTCCTTTTCAATTGATAATATAGCTAATGCATTCAATCTCACATTGTTGATCTATAGGCTACAATTATGTAAATGACCCAAATATATACCTTTGGGTTAAGGAAAGCAACAAAAAAAATCTTTATTTTTTTAATTATGTATGAGTATATTTGATTATTCTCACACGTAATTTTTTTATTCAAACGGATAATTTGAGTTTATAATTTTGATTGTCAAATTTATTTTCACTCATTTTCTTGTAAAATTTATCATAAATGCCCCAATTATTGTTTTTACAGATACAAAAAATAAATTATAAATAGCCGCAAAAAAATAGTTGAAAATTTTTTTCTTACTTTTTTCTCTTTTTCCATTCACACTTTTAATTTTCTTTTTATTTCTCAGATTTTTAGACTATATAATGAAAGGAAAAAATAGATTAAAGAAAATTCAAATAATGATAATCAAATAGATCTATAAGGAAGATATTTAAACTCAAAAAAGTAAAAAAAAAAAAACTCATGTGTGAGGAGAATCACATGTATCCCTTAACTTTGCAAGAAGTATGTAAATAAAATTTTTATTGTTGAATAAAATTATAGATTTACGTATTTTATTTTAAATCATATTTATATACATTTGGTTGAAATTTGAAATAAATATATCCTGTTAATTTTTGTTTTTTGAATTTATAAAAACAAAAAAAAAAGACATCTCGACGAAGTACCGATCATTCCAATAAAATAAATTGCCCACGCCCCAAATGGCCCGGTCCGTTAATATTGAGGCAAATCGTTTGCACAATTTGTCCAATTAGATTAATATCCATTTTTAAGTGACCTATGTAAATTTTTTATTTTAAATTGTGATATTTTAGTCTTCGGAGTCATGTGCTTTGCTTCTCTTGTTTCTTGAGTGCCCTTATAATTTTATTTTACACTCGCATCATTTTTTTTTTTACCCATATCAACTATTTATTTAGTGACCCATAGAATTTGATTTTCATAAGCAAGTTTGTAATTTGAAAATCTAATAGAGATGTTGCATTTTATACAACTTCAAGTATATACCAACAATTTGGAAGATGAGCAAAGGGAAAGGAGTAACCCTTGATTAATTTCGGACATTTATAACATTATCATCAAGAAAATACGAACGAGGTCTTTATAATAAAAAATGATGTCATAATAATAACCGGAACATTCTTTTGTTTATTACCAGTACATTATTTGGTACACTTGTTTGTTATTAACGTATGTATAACTAATACATATAAATTCATGGTGTTAGCAATGCAAAGGGTTTTAAAATGCATGCATTAACATGATTAAAGATACAATTGTCCCTCAGAATCTTTTTCACATCCTTTCCACTATATTTGTGGAGGATATTTTTGTAAACAAATAATTCATCTTAGAAATTATGCAACGCATGCTATTTTAATACATCAAGTTAAACAATGCATAAAAAAAGAATCTCAACATAACTAATATCAACATTTATGAATACATTATATTCAACACTATTTTTATACACCTTATCAAACGATTCCAGTGCATACTTTTTCTATTCGAGTAGTACAATAGTATTTCCTAGAAAAAGAGATTTTGTCACATAAAAAGTATGAGCGCAATAAATGTCACGATCCAAAACTACCCCCTAGACGTGACATAGTGAATATAATTCCGAAAGACTCTAAACGAACCACTTGACATAACATGACACTAAGATAACAATATAATTGAAAGAAACATCAAAGCAGAATATATGTCTCAAAACTCAACTCAAAAGGATACCAAAATTAGAGCACAAAATCATAAATGCAGAAAACATACTAAGTTTGACATAAGCCTCTACTACATAGGTGTGGCTAGGACAAGCCCTAGCTCACAAAATAATTAAAAAAACTCAAAGAGCCTGAAAGAACATAAAAAAATTCATAATGTGGTCATGTCCTTGAAGCATGAGGACTCACCAAATCTGGACAAAGTTGACTAGAATATGTGCTAACTACAAGCTGGATGAGGAGCATCGAATCCCATATTATAAGACAATATAGACACAAGAGATGTATGTGGTCAGTATTCAGAATGTACTGAGTATAAGGAAAGATGCATGAGTAAGCATAAGAACATGAAAATTCTGAAACAGGATAATGTATGGCCAAGTAAAACATGACATAATCCGATAAGCTGAGTTCATAACCATAGTACAAGGTCAATGCTATATTCTGAAAATCATATCATAAGTAGGAGTAATAATAATAGTCATATCATATGTGGGAGTTATCGTTAACCGACATAAACCATGTGAGCTATAACATGAAGTTCAGTGTACTACTCCCACACCGAAAAGAGATTGTCCTACTTGCCAAGGTAAAGACCATAATGTTAAGCTTAGGTGGGTCCACTAGCTAAAGTCAAGCCTCTACTAACGGGTGCAAGGGCAGACCTAGGTAGAGCCTAGGGGGTTCACCCGAACCCCCTTGTCAAAAAATTACACCGTATATATAACGTCAAATTTTGATTTTATGTGTATATATATTAAAATGAACCCCTTGAGAACAAAGGATAGACTTGGCTCAGTGGATAAGTGGTTCATGTAATGCCCCTATGTCACGGGTTCAAGTCCCATTGGTAACATTTTTCCCTTTTTTAATATTAGCTTTGAAAAATGGAACTTTTGGGCTTAGACCTTCTTCTTCTTTTTCATTATTTTTTCCTTTTATTCCATTTCTTCCTTTTAATTTATTTTTGTTTAAATTTATTAGATACATTCTTTTTATTTTTATATTTTATTCTTTTTATATCTATTATTCATTTTGTTTCATCGTAACAATTTTTTCATATACGTTTGAATAACTTTTTTTGGAAAGTGATGATTATATTTAACTTGAAATTGAGATAGAAATATAGTTTATTTTTAAAAAAAAAATGTAAATTAGATGTAATTGAATGAAGAAACTTAAATATCGTCAACATCCTTTTAAAAATATTAATTTAATAGAATTAATGAAATTTCTTTTATATTTTTAATTCTATTTTAGTGAGATGGAAACTAAACATATTTGATTTATTCGTTATTTATTTTTAATTTTTACAAATTATGACTAACCTAGTAAATTGAACTATATGAACTGAAAAAATTGACGATGCTATTTATTTATATTAATAATATGCATTATAATATTAGTAACTCTATTCTTACACACTTTTAGAGAATCTTGACGATTTTCATAGTAATATTTGATTGAATGGATATTAATTTAAAATTTTTAAAAGTGGAATATAAAGTAAAACATTACAAAATAAAAGTATAAAAAGCACAAGAAATTTTAAGAATGTTCGATGGAGCATGATAAAAGTAAAAAGAAATGTTTAATACGGTATGATAAAGTGAGTTAAATTTAGCATGATAAAGTAAATATCTTTCTTCCCCGTCTCGCTCCCTTTTTCATGTATTTTAGGAATTAACTTATGTAATGCAGTCGATCCACTAAAATTCTTATCAATGCATCTTTGTCCTCGATATCTTTGATTAGCTTAGTCTTTACTTTTATGAACCAATGAAATATCTATGGTTCTTGTACAAAGAGCATGCCGAGGGGCTACTACACTCACCGCGCACTTGCGTTACCACCTGAACTTGTTCTTTATACTTCGAACCCCTGAGCAAAAATCCTGGGTCCACCACTGAACGAATGACGTACTAAGTAGTCATGCCTCATTTGCTTCTCTTCGATGGAAGTTTGATTTTCCCAAAATGTATCCTAATTTTTGGCCTAATTCTTCTTCTGATGATCGATTCAACCTCTGATCAAAAAGAACTAACGAATATACAAGTATTAACACATTTTGGTACAAACTAAAAAATTAATATAGTGGTTAAGGAGTTGCAAAAACCTCCTTGAGGTTGTGTGTTCCACCTTTTCTAGTAGCATAATAGTACTTTTTGACTGGAACCATTTTTCCCTTTTTAGAACAATTAAAACGACGACATGCTTATTATTATTATTATTATTATTATTATTATTATTATGTATCTTGTCGAATTATAATGTAACTATCTTTTGCTTTCATTAGTAGAATTTATTTTATTGATTTTCTTGAGTATTTAATATTTTATATTTTTTACACCCCTTAATAAAATTTTGACTTCATCACAGGTACACTTACCACTAATTTACAGGCGGGTGCAAGTGGCTCAAAAGGTTCAAGAGGCTCCGCATTTTTTTTTTGTTGGAAATACATAAAGTAAAGTGTACTACATTTTTCCACGCGGTAGTTAGTGTGGAAATTGCCAAAGGAATAAAAGAAAAAGGCAAAAAGTTGTGGAGTTGGAATATAGACATATTTCCATAAGCCCAAACCTAATTTGACAATTCCACATTCATAATAGCATTAATCACCTTGGTACACTGAGCACAAAGACATGTCACAACACCTCAGAGAAGAGACAAACACCATATCACCAAAAGATAACATCACTAACGTTCTGCAATGAAGATGAACCATATCAAAACTTGCGGAAAATCCTTCATGTGTCGGCTTCTGGGGTAACGAGTAATCTCATAGTATTCCTTTCCAACAATCTAAGTGAATGCATCCCATCCCTCAAATCTGAATTAGTACTTATTAAAATCCAATCTTCATCTTCATCTTGAATGGAGTCCGATTGCATCTCATCCTGCAGTAGTGATCATACGGCAAATGGAAGAGACCATACTAGAATGACTCCCTTGCATCACCTTCACCCAATCTTGCAGTGCCTTCAATGATTCAAAGAGGGTGTTGAACTGCACATCGAGCATGCTAACAGAGAGGCATGGAGTAGGAACAATAATGTAACAAATTTAGCTTTGTATTGATCATCAAAGGAACTAATTACAAATAGATTGTTCATGCAATCAAAGAGCAAATGGAAAATAGATAAGGGAGATTCTAGACTGTTATTATGAAATAGCTAATCAAAAGAAAATTACATAACTCTTACACGTTACCAATTGTATTGTATTGTACTGCTAGTTTAAATACAATGTGTCTTTTGATTGTTACTTAAATATTATTGTATCATATCATTAGGTAACAACAAAAAGTCCCATTTTGTGTAATAACCAATTTGATGTAATCGCGTCGTTACCTTAATATTTTCTTCTCATTTTATCTTTACTTATTATTTAATAATCATAGTTTATCCTTTTACCGCTACTTTTTTATAGTAGCTCTACCATATATCCTACTTTTCTTGTAGTTTTATCATTTAAATTGTTGGTCTGAGACATTATGTAACGACGGAAATGAATACAATCTATCCAAACGTTGTATTTATTAAAATAATATAGTACGATATGAAACAATATGTAACAATCATCCAATTAGAGTGTGCATAAGCCGTAATGGATTATTTTCCTCTTCTATATATAGGCATCTTGTTAGGACTTCAAGCGTAATTTAACAATCCCCCATTCATAACAGCATTAATCACCTTGGTTCACTGAGCACAAAGACATATCACAACACAGCAGGGAAGAGACAAACACCATGTCACCAAAAGATAACATTTCTGCAGTGAAGATGAACCATAACAAAACTTACAGAAAATCCTTCATGTGTCAGCTTCAGGGGTAACCAGTAATCTCATAGTAGTCCTTCCCCAACAATCTTAGTGAATGCATCCTATCCCTCAAATCTGAATCAGTACTTATCAAAATCCAATCGTCACCTTCATCTTGATACTTGATTGAAAACCTTTCAAGTGATATCTTAAGCCTCTTTTCCACTTCCCCCTCCAATTCTACCCTCGTTGATGAAAGGGAGAGTTGAAACTTTATGATATCACCTTTATATGTAACCTTTACCGTCATCACACCATCACAAGGTTTTCCTATTGCAGGAGATATTTTGTGACCCAAATAATCTATGCCTTTTTCTTGGGAAAGAGCAGGACATTGTTGATTGACCACATATGGTTCAGCAACTTGAAAAGATACGCCTTGGCTAACATGGACATTAGCCTTTCTAGTCTTGTAATTTGGCCATCTAGTGATTTTATATTCTTTACATATTCGTTTCAATGTTGCTTGACTAACTGCAATAAAAGAAGTACACAAAAGGGATTTCAGTGAACCTATGCATAAATCATTTCAGTTAAAGGCATATGAGCGCACATATATATAATAGCACAAAAAGAACTACGAACCTCAAATGCGCTAAAGTTAGTGAACTTACCATGTAGATTTTTGGCAGCATCTTGAAGAGTCCTGCCAAAATGCTGCTCCAGAATCTTGCGAGTAATCCCATAATCTTTTTCTATCCTTTGTATTGTGCTTTTCTTATGCGAATGGATTTTATTGTTGTTAGTCATTGCATTTCCCGCAGAATTAATTTCTATATTTGGTTGCTCAAAGTGTGAATCAAGTTGCATTATTTCAAGTGTATCCTCAATGTGGTCATCATGTGCTACATCCAAGTTAACTTTTCCACTGTTTGTCACAGCTTCCTCTATTGGATGTGGAAGTAACAGATCAACTTCCACTGTCCTTTCACAGTTGAGTGAGTCACGCTTGTCTGCTGAACAAGAAGGAACCAGTAGTGCAGCAGCAGCAACAACATTATTTGACTGTTGGCAGAAAGAATCAATTTCAGTTGTTTCTCCTACATCCTGAAGAGATTGAACACTCAGCAGACGTTGGCCAAATTCAGTTGTTCCTCCTCCATCCTGAAGTGATTCAACACTCGGTAGAGATTGGCCAATTTCAAAGGAGTCAAATTCATCACTCGGGGAAACTTTAACAACTTCAACGAGCATCCTCTGCCCTAGTTCTTTTCCAGGAGCAACTACGAAACCTGGAAGTCGTTCTTTCGTTGTGGATAAAAGCATATTTATGAAAGTCCTTGTATCTCTAGCAGACATTTTGTTGGGTGGCAGAAAGTACTCAACTACGTAAACGCTATTGTCGGCGCATTTACTTTGCAAACAAATTGCAAAACTCTGAGTGAATCTAACTTTTCGTGCACTAAGCACCAAAGGGTACTCGCTGATGCTTAATAGAGTAACATCTTTGCAAAAGCATGAACCTTGGGATGCAAATGCCCTCCCGACCAATGCCGCACCGCTCTCAATAAAACAGACCTCAGAAACATGTTCAAACTCATGATACATTGAACTCGAACGTTCATAGATGGAGGCAGCAGCACGATACAAGACTTTTAAAGAGACAGATGGAGAATAAGGAATCCAAATTTGAGCAAAGGGTAAACTGTCTCTTTCAAGGATCTCATATAACTCATTCTTTATTTCATCAAGTCTATCATCAACAGGCGGCTATAAAAATGATAAGCTATGGAATTAGTGGGACAGATATAGCAGTCAGTAGAGCAATGGAAATAAAAACGATAACAGTCTCTAATCCCTTTTATTTATTTTGTTTGGTTTCACCAAAATAAAAAAGGCAACATCATACCTCTAAAAGTCCAAAAAGCATGTCCCTTGAATTACAAATGCTATGCAACTGAAATGAATAGATTTTCGACCCCTATGATAGAAAATTAAACAAAGGATTACAGACTTGTTCAAACAGTAAATACGGAATATAAACAAAAGTGAATAACCAATATGGTTGAGCATTATGAAAATAAAATTTAAAGAATTGATGAGCAAATACCGTAATAAGATGGGAAAGATGGAGAGATGGTTGTGTAGATACAATCTCAAGTACACCACGGTACTGCTGGTCATAGTTGTTGAACACTGGAACTGCATAATAAGAATGAATTCCCAAGCGAATTGCAAGTTCGAGCAGTGGAAACTCTGCAGCGGAGTAACTTGAGACGTCGGGGTTATATTCTGGCAAGCATCTTGTGTAAACTCGTTCAATTGGGCCAAATCGAATTTCGGTGTAGTCGTCAATTGGAATCAAAGTATCTAGACAGAGCTTCCTGTATGAAGAGAGCCTCTTATCAATTCCCTTATAGAAACCAAATGTTTGATCCGCCGTGGACAGGAAAGTGGATCCATTGACCTTGATGGGTGCCCAGAATTGAACCAGACAAATATTTGGAGTCGACATTTTCTCCATAACAGATTGGATCCTCCATTTCACAGTTGGAAACATGGAAACAACAGAAGCAGAAGCTGTATGAAGAAGATAAGATTCAAAAGATTTACTAGTGCTAAGCAAAAATTGGAAAATAAGTTTGATATTCACAACAGACTCACACATGATGGTTCGCTGGTACCCCAATTCATCTTTGTATTTTCTGCTCGAAAATGCCCAGGCGTTGGACTCCAGTTGGCAAGGCATTTGGGAACATACATCTGAAGGAGAGTGCTCCATTTCCATAGAATAGAATGGAATTTTCAGTGCCTTTTACCCCTTTGCTCTGCTGTTTATACAGAACGCGACTTGCTTTAGTTTTTGTCTACACCAGGAGACGAAACTTTAGACTTCATATAAGCAAAGTTGTGCCAATTTAATTTGGGGATCAAAAAGCTCAACAGGCTCCACTGTCGTCTTCAACTTTATCATCAATATTATTTTTTCAATGATATCTACAATTTGTTCTAAGTTTTATACCTCTAAACATGTACTTTCCTCTGTCCCAATTTATGTGACACATTTCGGATTACGAGATTCAAACAAGTGTATCTTTGACCATAAATTTTTCCTATATCTTTTAAATATTTTGAATTATCAATTATTGAGACTTATAGTACTTTTTATATAGTTTACAAATATATAAATTTCATTTTAAAAAATTGAAAATTTCATGAGCAAATTTTTGGTCAAACTTAAATTGTTTGACTCTCGAAAAGCGAAATGTGTCACATAAATTGGGACAGAGGGAGTATTTATTTATTACAGTAACCAAGATCATTAATTATGACCTCAAGTTCGTGAATGACGTTTTCACAAGTGGGTTCTTTCAAATTCTTTGAAATTTCATCTTTAAACAATTTTTTCAATGTCGAAACAGTTTTTAAATTAATAAATATTAATTAATCAATTAAATAATACATCTACAAAATAATAATATTTCATGGTCCGGCCTATATTAATTTAGAGAGGTTTTAATGTATTTGTTCAATACTTTTTATGTCCAACAATAGTTATCGATTATTGACTTGACACACCCTTAAGAAATGATAAATAATAGGGGTAATATTACTATATTATCCTTCACTTTATTAAATTTAATTTTTTGAAAAATATGTTAGATGATAAATAATATTTAATAACAAAGTAAAATAGACACAAAAGATAAAAAAAATCATGATTTTTTAAATTGAACAAGTACTATTGAATAATTATTTTTAGTATAGCGGATAACTATGATAAGGAGTATATAAAATAATTCTCAGTTTATATGACAGTAATTAAGTAGTATTGAAATACCATTATATTTAGACCCGGGTGCAAGTGGATCAATAAGCTCAAGAGGTTCAACAAGCTCCACGTTGTACCCAATGTGGAAATTGTCAAAAGAAAAAAGGAAGGCAAAAAATCTTGGAGTTAGTACTATTTGTTTTGTTTTTTTTGTTGAATTTACGGAAAAGAGTAAAAAAAATGTTGTGAAATGAATAAAAATCTACTTTGTTTATAATGTGGTTTTTAAATGTTTTTATAGTAAATATTTTGATTTTAAAATGTCCTTAATATTATTTAACATGTATTTATTATTTGTTTTGTTGTAAATTATATACATTTAAAATCAATTCGGGTGAATGTCTAATTTATCAAGCATAACTAATACCCTTGTTTGTATCAAAAGCTCTCAAAAGAGATGCAACTGGAACTACATCGTCTAGACTAGTTCATTTTTATATGGATGAACCTTCTAATTAAGTAAATAAAATCCTTCCGTTTCCGAAGCAAAAAAAAAAACTTATTTCACTTTCTATCTCGCATAAATTATACATAGATTCCCTCATAAGTTATATAAATATTAATTACGTTACGATTACAAAAAACACAATCAAACATTATACAAAAAATAATACATGAATAACTTTATACAACATTTGAAAACCGACCAACCAAATATTGTAATAACTTTTATCCTATTTACAAATCAAACATGATATAAAACAAATACATAAATAACCAAGTTATTCATGTATTAGGTTTAGACTTATCTAGCTACCAAACGAGCCTTGATACTTTGTGCTTCTATTGTTGCACAACTGTTTTCTTTGGTAATGGATGTGAACAGCGGGAGACCAGCTTGGAGAAATATTATTCAATTATTCTCTTTTCTTCATTTCAATTCATTTGATGTAGTTTGACTTAATATGAAATCTAAGAGACTTGTGAAATTTGTGATTTAAAATAAGTATAACTGTTTGTGTGACTGCAAATCATGTATTTTAAGATCAAACTATTACTAAATAAAGAGATGTGACATTCTTTTTTAAATTGATTAAAAAAGGAAATAAAATGGGATAAGAGTCTGAAAAATACCCCAACTTTGGTCGAATTTGTTGTTGCGATACTAAACTTTCATGAGGACCTATTACCTCCCTAGACTATTTATTAGTGTATTTTTTACCCCTGAACTATTTAAGAGTATATTTTAAGGGAAAATGCATAAGTACCCCAGCCTATGCCCAAAATCCCTGAGACAACCTATGTGTATGCTTTTAATAGCAGGGAGGATAGGAGGGATTTATGGGAAAGTTTGATACTCCAAAGTCGAAGATGTACAAAACCATGGATGGTGTTAGGTGACTTCAATTCCCTACTGAAGACTGATGATAGAATAGGAGGAAATCCAGTAGTTTGGGCAGAAATTGTGGAGTTCAATGAATGCGTTCTTGAATGTGGTTTGATAGAATTTCCTACTCATGGTAATAGATATACGTGGAGTGATAAACATGATGGAAACAGAATTTTTTCAAAAATTGATTGGATTTTTATTAACAGAGAATGGAAAAATCGTTGTATTTTACTATGACTTTGCTTTACTATTACTTTATTTTCGTGATTTTAATCTTTGACTTTTAGAATTGGATTTCAAGTTAGTAATTGCTATATACTATTAGCTCCTTGATTACTTATCAAATAAAATGAACATTTTTGAATCACCACCTACGGCCTTATTAGCTTAGTAGCAGCCGTGGAAGTTATAGTAGTTCTAGCAGAGTAAGCTAGAAGATGACCGATCTCCATACAATGCCTACATGTAAGGCATTATTTTTACCTGAGGGTATTAGTGACCACTGTCCAGCAAAAGTAATCTTAACAGAAGAATGTAGAATCAGGAAGCCATTTCAATTTTGTAATGTGTGGGCCAAACATTCACAATTCCAATCTGTTGTGAAGGAAGGATGGGATGAAAACATAGAAGGTTGTATGATGTACAAAGTGGTGAGAAGATTAAAGTTGTTAAAGAGAAAGCTGAAGCTGCTACACTCACAGGCTTTCCAGAACATAGTGAATGAAGCCAATGGAGATAGAGAAAAACTGAAACAAGCACAACTACAATTGCAGAGCAACCCGCACAACTTGGATTATCAACAGTTGGAAAGCCAGTTGTATGAGAAATTTAGAACCTCTTCTTATCTGGCTGAAGTTTTTTTACAACAAAGGAGCAAAGCAACATGGATAAGGTTGGGTGATGATAATGCTAGGTACTTTTACAGTTATTAAGCATAGGAAGCTGAAGCATGCTACAACTCAACTGAAAAATGCATCAGGAGAATGACAATATGATCCTACTAGTATTGCAAATGTAATTGTGAAATATTATGAGGATATCCTGGGAAAGAAGTCCCTGCAGATAATACCAGCAATAGGAAAATTGATGAGTCATGGGGTGGTGCTTAATGAGGAGCAACAAGGTGAATTAGTGCACAGTTTTGAACCAGCAGCAGTGAAGACAGCAATGTTTCAGATTGATAGTAATAAAAGTCCTGGACCAGATGGATTTGGTAGTGGATTTTACAAAGCAGCTTGGTCTATTGTGGGGCAAGATGTTACTACGGCATTGCTGGAATTCTTCCAAAACAGCAAGTTACTAAGACAAATCAATTCAACAAGTATTGCACTCATCCCAAAGATAGAGGTACCTGAATTTGCCAGTCAATTTAGACCAATATCTTGTTGTAATGTCATATACAAGTGCATATCAAAATTGATTTGTAGCAGATTGAAGAAAGCAGTGAATCTGATAGTAGCAAAAAACCAATCAGCATTTGTCCAGGGAAGAACAATGATTCATAATGTTTTGATTTGTCATGATATTCTAAGGCACTACAATAGGAAGAATGCCTCACCTAGGTGTCTTATGAAAATTGATTTGAAGAAAGCCTATGACATGGTAAGTTGGGAGGTTTTAGACTTTTAGAGGAAGTACTTAGGGGTTTTGGGTTTCCAGAAACGTTTATTAAGTGGACTATGTTGTGTGTTTCCACTACAATGTTTTCAGTAAAAGTCAATGGAGGGAATCATGGGTTCTTTGTTGGTAAGAGAGGTCTTAGGCAAGGAGATCCTATATCGCCTTTGCTGTTTGTGTTAGTAATGGAGTACTTGTCAAGAACACTTAAAACAATGAGTCTGTTGCCTGATTTTGGACTCCATCCAATGTGCAAAGAGTTGAAACTCACTCATCTAATATTTGCTGATGACTTAATGATTTTTTGTAAAGGAAATTTGACTTCAGTAAATAGAGTGATGGAGGCATTAGATCACTTTAGTGCTGCCACAGGTTTGGAGGCTAACATGGAAAAATCAAGTGTTTTTATGGCTGGGGTGGATGAGGAAACAAGGGATCAAATCTTGGCTAGAACTGGTTTCTCGAGGGGTGAATTTCCTATTAAATATTTGGGACTTCCATTATCGCCAAGGAAGTGGAATAAGGCTGATTGCTTCTCACTGATTGATAAGATCACTCACAGAATTACCGTGACTTATTCAAAACAACTAT